ACCCAAAACAGGCGCACCCGCATGCTGACACGAACGCTGCCACAGGCGCGTAAACATCTGACCACTGCTAGTACGCTCCTGAACGGACGATTTGTTCAGACTAGACTACCATTGGCCAAGAAACTGATCAGGCGGCCAGTGACTCACAGTGACGTTCACGCATTCACGCCCACATCAGGCTACCGCGCAGACGCGCGCGCGTAGTCCCAGAGTTAGCCGCGCATCGGGGGCCTCTGCTTTTTTAAGAATTTCTGTCCACAATAAACAACTCCCCTTGGGTGAACACAAAAGCACCCCAAAGACTGATTTACCAATAACGATCAAGAACCCAAAGGTTCTCTCTTCCCTAAAACAGGCCATGCAAGAACTAGGCTAACAGAAATAAATCCGTCTTTTTATTAATGCAGAAGTCAAGTGTACCAGTGACAGAGGAAGAAGAAACTAATTTGTTTAAGGCGGAAACATCCAAGTGCGCCCTGACCGAGGTGAAATGAAGGTGTTTGCGACTATCAAGTTAGGCCACGACTCACAATGGACTGAAGGCACTCCGCTGTTGAAATAAGATGATACACCAGAACTGGGCTTGATACTTTTAGTTCTGAGTACACCCAAGGCTTAGACATCTGTTATAAATGCGTCAGATTTATGATAGTGAGTGATGCCCATACATACAATGAGACTAATTGGTCATGTACTGGTCGACTTAGTGCACCAGCAATCCACCCATTTCTTTCCTAAAATTCTCGAATTTATGCTAGATCGAGGCAGCATTTTGTGGGGTAGGGATTCATAGTGGGATAGCCTGGGGGAAGGTAATAATACTAAAAAAACCACTTGCAGATTTTCAGTAGGTCAATTTCCCGCCTATTTAAACACTTCTTGGGCTGCGAGACTTTTGCCAGCATGTCCGAAGAAAAGCTGACTGTAAAAGCATTTTGTAAGTACAAAAAGTGATATGATAAGGAACTGTGATTTCAAATTTGAAAAAAGACAGTCTTCGACAGTCTACCAAGTGAATTATTAAAGGAACACAATAACATGCTTTCTAGGCTTATCTGCGTTTTAATTTATTTGTCAAGGTCTTACTTGCATGGAATACCTGCGACAGTACCTGCGGGTTGCCCCACGCTGGGCCAGGACATGCGGAAAGGTCTTTCAGAAATTTGCTGATGAAGGGATTATGCCAAAGGAGGTATGTCTCCACTAAAGTGTCGTTTAAAGTCATCCGTTAGCATCTGGAGACAAACATCTCTACAGTGGAAGAATTTTAGTTCG